AATTAAGCATTTTTTCTTACACTCTCTAAAATACCTATATTTCAGATACGAGGTTAAGGCAGAAACGGGACGATATGACGTCGTATTTAGTAAGTTGAAAGAGTATGTTCACACTAAGCACACTCATGAGTAAAGCACTACGGGAGATACACCATTAGGTTAAACAATCCTAGCCTCAAAGTAGAAAAGGTGGATCTAGTACTCTTCAACAAGAAATTTTAGATTTCGAATTGGTCTAAATCTAAGCTACATGCAGTGATTTTTCAGCTGAAGCAAAGAAGCAAAAACCTAGGAGTCTTACTTAAGAGCAAACTGTCTTGCCGTCTCAATGGGGAGGACAGGGCGAAGAAAGCATCGGTGGTGCTTCGTCTTCTGTGCCTCATTGGATCTTCAGTGGCATTTTTCAGACCGATACCGGTCTACGGGGTACTGTTTTTATGGACGGCAATGAAGAAGAACACGCCAGCACTCTACTTATTGATGCATTTTTCGCCGACGTTCGAAACTGCCGCCAGACATGAAGGTGCGCGCGTTTGTGTGCAGGTCCTACGGTCAAAGTTGTATAGCGCGAACACTATCTTCTCAGACTGACTACATTATTCCGGGCTTCACTTTGGACCGAATTTCGGAGCCACTATAGATGAAGTCTTGTGTGAGGTCATGAGAAGGGCTGACTCGGTGATTGTTTGCACAAATGGGTCGAAGATAATCAAGTGTGTAGGCGCTGCATTGTTCTGCGCGAAGGCACAGTGTTGCCGGTAACGTGGAGGCCGATACACTTACCTAAGAAGGAGCTTCGTAGGTAACTGTGCTGATAGAGGAGTTGCCGATTCCGCTACGAGCGATTAAGCGGAAGTAAAACTTGTATACGATCCGGCAGGCAAAGATGTTGTAGATCCAAACATATAACTGCAATCTGTCTAGGACTATATGTGCTGAGTTCGATATAGCAAGCTCCCAAATTGTATCTTATCTCTTAAAGGGAAGGAAACTGGCTACTGGTTGTGATACTAACAGGATACTGAATTATGGCTTTACGCGCCCTTAAATTGGCTCTGATCGAAGATGAAAATTGCTGGAAATGGGGGATCAATGAGACAGTAAAACACATCTTTTTTGAGTGTCCTGTATTTGAAAGACTGCGGATTAACCTCATTTTAGTAGGACTTCTGCATTCCAGTACCTCTGGCAATCCAGGTTTTGTCGCAGTTTGTGAAGCTTCCCTGCGCTTTGACCAATGGAGATTGCCTCTGAGCAATTTTCTTAGTGCAGAATTCTGCTTGGAGGTTTGGCATTGCCTGCCGATCGGCAGCAGCTGTTAGAGAAACACTTCCTCCCAGCTTTTGGATGGTTGCACGGAACAGAAATCGATCCTAGGTAATGCCGAGTCTTCGTCAGCTCTTCTATGGCGGCCCATTCCATTAGTGTACTCTCAACTTTCTTAATATCGTGTTATATTTATGTCTTACATCCTAAAGTCTTCAAATCCTTTTTTTTGACGAACACCAATTTCCTAGCTGCCTCTTGTGGTTTCCCCTCTTGTAAATTGTTAAAAACTATCGCCAATGACCAGACATACATATACTCACCAAAAATTTAAAGCCAAGAACTCGTACTACAGCTAGTTTTGATAATGTCTTTACTACTGTTTATTTACTTATATATTTTCCGCAAATTCATACAGACATAACTATAATACAAGTATCCAATATGGGTCAATTGCGGCCGCACCACACAATTAATTCTACTTCGTTTGTCCAGTTTTGGTCGCCTGAGACGCGGTTGCTGTCGCTGTCATTGCTGCTTTTCAAGTTTCAAGTGCTCGTGCGTGTACCTTGTCCAATCACTGCTTTTGATTACTGTTTACTACTTATTATTGTTATTATTATTATTATTACGAGTATTTCGTATCTTTCTCCCGAACCGGTTCTCGCCAATGCTCAAAACTTGTAACACTTTTGTTTATTGTGGGGCATAGTAGAACATACCAACTACATGAATACAATGAAAACTAAAAATGTTTCCAAATAAAAATAGGCAAGAAGCAAAAAGTGTGGTACAAGAATAGTCATGCTACTTAATACACGTAGGGCATAAATTATAAAGTAACCTCCCCGCAACTTCTGTGGTTCGCCAATCAAACTGCGCAACTGAGTGAAGCAGTTGCAGCTTTGCCTCAAAAACCTACTACCATTAAAAATCACTTTTGATTGCGTTACGCTCGGCGAGTTTAAAGTGTTCATGCCAGCGGAAGTAAGGGCTCATATCTCAGTGTATACCTTTTAAATCGTTAGCACTTCTGCGCTTGCGTGTAGTTGTATATATTGTATTAGTTATCTTCACAGCCAAGTTCTCGTTTTGGTCGGCACCAATGGGTGCCCCTTCATCAGCTTTGCATAGCCAATTCGATCGCGTCTCCTCCGTCACGATTTAGCTAGCAATTCAACTGCTTTTGTCACGCTACACGACTCCAGACTAATAGTGAGTGAGAAGCACTCAATTTGTGGACCCTCGCAAAGCATGAACACTGCTAAATGTAGCGAGTCAACTAAGTGCAGTAGTTGAGAGGCTATGCATATTTGGCTAAAGCGGAAATATGCATAGCGTTTCGATTTAAAGACTTATTTTATATTATATTCTCGATTTTTACTACATTATCCCTTCTTTGAAAATAAAACATAAAGTAAAAAAGCTTCCCACTGATAGCCGCAAGTTCAAATGAGGCGCTTGAACTTTCATTTAGCTGAATCACTTGAAAAAAATAACAATAAACTTAAAGTCTCGAATTGTAGCTTGTCTTACTAATGTATGTATTCACATTAGACTGAATCACTCCCCATACAAAAAAATCGGTACTGTGTTTCCATTGGAATTATAAAATCTATTATATTTTAAGACTTGCACCAAAATATTTCTGATAAAAATATTAAAACTTGCGTGACCGATTTCAAAATAACACCAAAAAAATTTTTTTTTATGAATCAAAATAGTCTTTTGAAATATTTTTTTAAAAAGATCGCCGCAGATGAAAAAAAACAGTTTAAGCTTAAAAAATGTGCATAAAATTATTTAAAAAAAAAGTTCTACGGAATCATAATAATGAGATTTTTGATGCTTTTTTTAAACATTTTCAATGATTGGTTTAAGAAAAACTCGAATAACTTAGCCAAAACTTTACCTATTTAGACTTATGAGAAAAAACTGGAAAGGTATTTTCTCATCCTGTTTATTTTTACAAATAAACTCATTCAAAGTATGAAATAGAAAAGTAGGATGAACGACCATCATATGAACAGAAGTTGAATTAAGATGTGTAGATATATGAAAAAAAAGTCAAGACGTGAATAAGTTTTTTGCAAAGAAATAAAAAGACTGAGAAAACACCTTTCCACTGATACCTCATATCTAAGTCTAAATCGGAATAGTTTTGGCTTCTTATTCAAGTTTTTCTTAAACCAATCCTTGAAAAAACGTGAAAAGAAAGGCAACGAAAATCTCATTATTACAATTCCGTTGAATTTTTTATGCAGATTTTGTAAGCTTAAACTGTTTTGTCAAAAAACTAATTTTATTCATAAAAGACTAAATTTTTAGAGGTTTTTTCAAATCGGTCCACCTCACGCAAACCTTAATATTTTTCCAAAATATTTTGGAGGATGTCCTCAAATATAATAAATCTTGTAATCCCGGAGGAAAAATCGCAACTTTTGTTGGTGATGCAGTCTAATGCACATACTTACCTTCATCCCTAGCTTTTAGTGCACCAGCCGTCACACGATTCGCATACATTACCTCAGTCCAAAACAAAAATGAACCAAAACAATAATAAATCTTTAAAAGCGTTTGCTGCCTCTTAGGGTCTTACCACCTTTACTGCTGCTTATTGCGATCTTAGGTCATCCATAAAAGCTAGCAATTCGGGTGCAGCACAGCACGCCAGCGATGAGAGCGTGTGCATGCTTTTTTGTTGCTTGGTAGGTAAGTTGTTGCACTAGTGGTTTGACGACTCTTGCTTGCCTGCTCGCTGATCCACAGTACTTACTACAGCACACTAATTTCCGCTGACTGATGTGACTGACAGATAGGCAGACAGACGACATTGAGTCGATCCCACGAAACAACGCTGAAGTTAACTGCAAACTGAGCTTTGCTGCCGAAGTCGTTACTTCATCTCAGTGGAGCATAAACAATACATAGTCTGTCCCCTATTCCAATTCCCATTCTTAGGCTGGTATTGCTTTCTTGAGGGTGTTGTTGCAGAGCTTTGGTGTCCAAAAACCAAAGACGCTACCAACCGACCTGCTATAGTAGATTTGTAGTTTCAGTCAGTCGCATTTGAACTTTGACGGCAAGCGAAGGCGCGAACTTCATACGTACGGAGGTTCATAATATTTACAATAGTTTTTGGTTGAACGCTTGTAAGATTATTGTCTGCGCCAACCAAATGGTAGGTCTGAAGGTTTTGTTGTCTACGTCATTTTTTGTATTTTTTTTTTGTATATATTTTTTCGTTTTCTTTAGCCGTTAATTGGATTAATTTATATGGTGCGCTCGTATATTACGAAATGCAATATTGATTTTTAGGAAATTCTACTATTTTCTTTGTGTTTTAATATTTTTCGCGGGATTTGCTGTTTCAGAGACGAAAAAATTCGTGCAGCGCGCCAAACGCCGATTTCCTGTCTAGTAGTTTGCTAGTTTGGCTCATAGTGCGCACGCGGTGAACTTAACAATAATAATTTCATTCAAACTGCCAATGGATTCTTCAAAAAAGTTGCAACGCCCACCTTCACCAGTACCTGAATTCCAAAAATTAAAACTACGCCCAGTGCCAAAAGTGAAAAGACGCGCACCGCAGCCTCCCACCACACTGGCGCTTAGAAAAGTTGCAAAGCTTTTGGAATATATATTTTTAATTATGTAGTTTAATAACTTTTTTTATTAGCTGCTTTAGTGATTTATCATTTATTTCAATCTTCCAATTTTTTTTATCTTTACAGACTTCATCTACAACAAAGACTACCACTCTTACTACACCTGCAAAATTATATGGCAAGGACTTGAGCGAATATGATGAGGTTGATGTTGATGCTCTGCTGGCACAGTTGTCACCAGAAGAAATCAACATTTTAGCCAAAGAAGTTGATCCCGATGTAAGTAAAATGTAAAATAAAATTATAATTTTTAAATATTAAGAGTTTAATATATTTTGTTTTCTACTTATAAGACTTTAGAACACAATGAGGTAGTTCACGCTTATTTGGTTATCAGGTTATCTGTTAAAAATTATTATTGTGTAGTGTATTTTATTGTTGTAAACTGAATGAAACATATAACCACATAACCACATAAGCTTATAAACAGGCAAGCGTGAACAACCTCATTGTGTTCACACTTGCTTGGTTATGTGGTTAAAAATATAGTGTATTTTATTGTTGTGAACTGAATGTATAACCTTATAACCAGACAGGTGTGAAGACCCACATTGAAAACGATGTTACCACGCGATACGACATTCATGTTTATTCCTCATTATGTACACTTTTACCCGTCGCTCAAAAACTAAAAAATATGTGCATTAGGGCGGCTCAATTTTTTTTGACTGCGCGTATATCATAGAGGATTTTACATGTAATTCTAAGCAAATTTGAGTTTAAAATCAATTTGGAATTTGCCAAATTGCGAAAATAAATTTCAAAGCAAATGTGAAAATTTTCACTGTAAAACTGTAGGTCCCTCCCCTTTGTGTGGCAACATCAAGGCGCACGCCACAAATCGAACGAAAAACTCGGCCAAACACTAACATATGTGTAAGTGCCAAACTATTATTATTATAACGAATACGAATTTTTTCTGTAACGGCTGCATTAAGTCTACGTCAAATATAGTATCCACATGGTGGTTGCAGGGCTATATTAGAAAACCATTTTTACTTTTTTAAAACCACTTAAATTTTTTAAAATTTTTTAATATTTAGTTTTATGGATTCTTTAGTTTTAATAATTTTTACTTTTTTTTGTGTATATTTTTTAAGTATTTCATATTTCTTCTTTGTCTGTAAGTTCAAGATTCTGATTCCTTTTCAGATTCGTCCGCCTTATAGGATCCACCATTTTAGATTTTCCAAAACTAACTTTAGAGTTGTAATCAGCATCTCTGAAATCCCTCCCATAGAAAGTTTCATAAAGAAAGTAATGTTGAATGTCTTCACATACAAATTTTATAACTTTTTTTTTTTAAATCATCTACCGTATTGGATCCGTCATTTTGAATTTTTCAAATCAATCTTCAGATTCGTAATCAGCGAGACCAAATACCCCCTTATTCGAAGTCGCCACTTTTGATGAGCTACTGGCCTATAGTACAATAATTCGCAAAATTTGTTCTTCCAAGGTGTCCAAAAGTTCTGGTTTGTTCGCATAAACCAATGACTTCACGTGGCCTCAGAGAAAATAGTGTAGAGTCGAATCATTTCGAGAAGTAACTCTCGAATGAAAACGCTTGCTGTTGACAGTAACGTTGTTGCTGTTCTCAATTTTAAAGAAATAAGGATTCAACCAAAAAGCGAGTTTTTGTGGATGAACCAATGCCTCGTGAATTCTTTTCACTTCTGTTACGACAATTTTGCTTATTGGAATGTCTTTTTAGTCAAAAATGAGCACCACTGTAGATACAGAATCGAGCCATGACTTTCGAAATAAATTCACACAATTTGCAAGCGTTGTTCTTGCAAACCAATTGATAATAGCGTTGCCAGATCTGACAAATTTGTGTCCGTTTAATCGCCATCGGACAATCAGATCTCTGAAAACCCCCTACAGAAGACTACGTATTTAAATAATTGCCCGCCTGTGGCAGTCTGTTTAGATTTATGAGTTAAGCACCATTTGTCAAAAATTTGATTGTCCGATACCAGAGATTAGCTTTATATAGCAGTTCAGTGAAAAAATCCTTGCCAGAAAAACAAAAATATTATATATATATATCGAGAGCTTATATTCAATACCCTCTAACTGCAATTTCCACAACACCTAGTTTCTAATGTTGGAACTAAAAAACATTGGCATTTACCTTCTCGGCCAAACTAAAAGGCATTTTTACAATGTTTAAAGCGACGGATAGAGTTTTTGACCTTCGTGGAAATTCGGTAGGCTTAAAAATGCACTCTGTTAAATAAACTGTTTTGTGTGCTTAAAGGCGGTGTAAGAAGATTGGGCATTTGGTCAAAATTTGGTGCAAATCGTAACCCAATTGTGTGAGTGCACAAATAATTTTCTTTATTATTTATTTTCAATAGCAGTTCGCTGTATTTTACCAATCGTGTGACTACAAAAAACTTTCGTCGAAATTTTTTTTATTTTGTACCAATAGCCCAATATAAAAAATGTACAAATCTGTACAAATGTACCAATCGTGCCCTAAGGAAATACTCTACAGAATTCGTTACATAAAAACTTCAAACCTATGAAAAAAAACCAACAAAAAACCCAGTACTTAACTCCAAAGACATTTCCTTATAAGGGAGTATTCGTTATAGGGGAGTTCGTTACAGAGAAGTCTGATAGTTAAAAAAAAAGTCAGTATGTTCTCTATTTCTTATTTTCACAAATGTTCGAACTGTGCGACATTTAACCGTGAAAATAACGGCACTTAGAAGGCCTTTAGACTTTAAGGGACTTACATTTTTTTTTTTAAGATTTCTGTTCAATTCTAATCTTATTTTTCCCTTACTTTAGGACAATTTCCTGCCACCCGATCAACGTTGCAGCTATGAATGCGACAAAGACCCCACCGGCCCATTGAATCGTAAGAAGTTGATTGAACACATTAACAAACAAGCCTTGGAAGCACCAGATGAACCCGAATTCGAACCTTACGTTAAGGGTACTGTACGTGGTAAGAAATGGGTGCCACCGGCAAGGGATGAAAGCGAAATTGCCGCTGAAGAACAGATCGCTATCGATTTGGGCGATGAATATGAACATGCGCTGAGCGATGCTACCCAAGAAGAGATCATCGATTTGGCTGGTATGTAAAAGTATTATCGAGAAAAAAATTAGTTAATTAAAATTACGCAGATTTTAAAACTCCAAAAAAAAAGAAACTTTTTCTGAACTCAACTTAAAAAACACTTGTCTTTGTCCGGGGTTTTATCATTAAACAAATTTTACGTTTCTTTTGCAGCTATACTTGGTTTCCATTCGATGATGAATCAGGATCAATATCATGCTTCATTGTTGAACAAAGGTCAGCCAGTTGGTATGGGTTGGGACGGTATTACAAAATCAACTCAACCAAAATTGTTCCCCATGGATCCACCAAATAACACAGATGTCGAGGAATCAATTAAACGTGTAAAAGATAACGATACAAAATTGATTGAACTGAACTTAAATAATATTAAGGTGAGTGGGTGAAATTTCAAACCATGTACAGTGTAATAATTATGCATATGGATACATGTACATATATTCACATTTACAGAACATTTCCGATGAGAAATTCGAACAACTTTTCCAAGTACTGCCCGATAATGAACATTTGGAAGTTCTGTCCTTAACAAATGTCGGTCTAACCGATAAAACGGCTCTCCTATTGGCTGAAGCAATTGAGAAAAGCAAAACCCTGAGAGTATTAAATGTTGAAACAAATTTCATTAGTCCACCTGTTGTTGTGACTTTAGTGAAGGCCCTGCTCAAGTGTCGCACAATTGAAGAGTTCAGGGCATCCAATCAGGTGAGTCTCTATAATTTATAATATAAATATATATGTTTTATTAAAATTATCTCCTTGTTTTAACAGCGATCCTCAGTGCTCGGTAATAAGATCGAAATGGAAATAACCGAATTAGTGGAAAAGAACTCATCGTTACTCAGATTAGGTCTGCATTTGGAATTCAATGATGCGCGTCACAGAGTCGCCGCACATTTGCAACGTAACATCGATAGAAGTGAGTTAGCGTATTAATTTAGTTATTCCTTTGCAATCTCTAGGTGATTATTAAGAATGGCCCACATACTACAACTCCTCGAAACAACGTTGGCTCTAGTGTGTTTCACTCGACTCCCTGCAGGTTTAACTTGCCCTTGTTAAAGTGTCAGCATAAGTTTAATTACTCTATATATGTACAATCTAAGTGTCAATTGATTAGGTCGCTGAAAAGTAATCTGATATAAGCATCCCATTCTTCATATTTTTCACACACAGCTGAAATGCAATCATCAACAGCTGCTGAAAGCAAATTCATGCGCTTACCGTTATCCACATCATCGCCAACGCCATTGCCACTTTTATCACCGCCATCGTTAGTTCTGTCCGCTCATTTGCAAACATCACCGATTGGCGCATCATCGTCATCATGTGCCGCCAACACAACCACATCGCAACCACTTGCAACCGAATTTGAGCAAAAAATGCAACTATCCGAGACAGCTCTTACCATTACAGCTGCTCCTATGGAGAAATCAGATGACTTCAAGGCCAAAGCATACGATTGCCCAGATAATGTCAATGATTTAAATTCATTGAAAAATGAGAACGACTCGCATGATGTTGGCAACGAAAATTTAGATGTGAAATATGTTGGGGCTGAATTAGTAGCACAAATGCCAGAGGCAGCAATGCCCAGGCTGCCTACGCCAGCAATCGTTGCAGTGGCTGCACTCAATATTATTCAAAATGCAAACGAGCGCGAAGAGAAGGAAATTTAAAGAAGCCAACCGATAACTGATGCATTCGATTATATCAATGCACATTTTTTTTTTCTTAAAGGAAAATATTATGGAACAATTGCTTGCATACCCCTTTCCAAAGATGTTAAATTTTATTAAAATTTGTTAAATTCACATTTAGCGTTCTTTAAGCTTCCTTCGGTTAAACTTGCCGCTCATTAACAATGCCAGCTTGTAGTAATGTGTTCAATATTCTGGCATCAGGTAATATGGATGACCCTGTTCTCTTTCTCTCTCCCCAAAATGCATCTCACTGCGTATAACATTTAACCAATTATCCAACGTAAATAGTTCGTTTCTGAAGTTTCGTGCGAAAATGTGTCACATTGTATAAAACCGTCATCGTCACTGCGTTGTTCATCGATCGTTCAGTTGTTTTGTTGAAGTCTCGTGTTTTGTTAATTCATTACTTTGTTAAAATGTTGATGTTCTTGTTATTTTTACAATTTGGTGAACTCTAACTGAATAGTTGTTAACTGGGTCTTCAATAAATATTGGGGAATATCCTTACTGTGAACAGAGCTTTAATGTAGATTACGTAATGCATTAATTTTATAAGGGTAAATTAGTAAGAAAGTTAATATGCAGCCATCATAACTCATCGGGACTTTTCATTGAAGCGATTACATCACTATGTAGAATTCCTAATTTACTACTGTGTCATCAAATCCCGGCTCTTCTACATACAATTACATTTCAATGTCCAAACTTCATTTAGCGTCACCTCATATCCAGGCATGAATTGCAAGCTTAGCTTGCATTCGTCATATTGCCTTAGTCATAGTTCATTTCATTCATTCAAAATATGCTCCTTTGTGTAATTTGTCAATTCCCGCCAATGTAAATCCACTCTTAACTGTTTGTTGCTTTTCTTTACCTGGTTCGTTTCCCATTTTTGTTGTATTTACATACATATAAACAGATTTAGTATAGAGTAACTCCTATTAATACTTTTTTGTTTATTTATTTAAAAATTCTAAAATTAAAAAAAAAAATCGTAAAATTCGTATGAAAAATTCGTCCTTGAAAACTGCAACAAAAAAATGTTAATCTATACACGTGTAAATTGAACAAATCGAAAATGTACACCAACGTTACGTTCATCGCCTAACATATGTATGTATGTATATTGCACACACCAACCAACAACCCGCCAATAAACCAACCAATCAACAGTTGTGCGTGTCCAAAAATTAAAACCGAATTTGCCGAAATTAATTCTGCCAGCCAACATGGCATTGCCGCCAGCTTCAATGTCATCGCCATCTTCATCACTATCACGTGGACAGCAGCCGCGCATCGAATACGATCTCGAAGAGGACGACGACAATGTGGTGGGTGGCGATGACTTTGATCCTGAAGTCGATCCGGATAATATGGTGGTACCGGGAAGTCGTGCAGTAACACCTAGCTCGGAATTGCCATCACCATCGCCCTCGCCGGCGTTCAATCAAAGTGCCAACAGTTATAATGCACTCATGTGAGTTTGTGTGTGTTGCTTTTGTAAAAAGGCTATAAAACAAAGCGAAAACATTAAATGCAAGTCACAAACCAACAACAGGCGACAAACAAATCAAGAATATACATACACATAGTACAAACATACATACATATGTACAATATCCACTATTAATGTACGCAATCTACACAGGACGTCCACTACCCAATTCACTAAGCATCTTTCTACTTGGTGTACATATTTACATCATACAAACATCCATATATGTATATGAAAAGAAATCTCATCCACGCCAAGTGAACTCATCAAACATGGAATTTCTGTTGCGTGATTTATTACAAACTGTTCAAATGTAAACTAACGCCGTTATTTGAGTTTTTAATATCTGATGTGATTCTCCTTTTCCCATTCAGATTTTTATATTTTATTTTAAAAGATTGCTGTGTTCGTTGTGTTTAGCTCTCTCGTCATATGTAAAATTTGGTCATAAAATCTTACATTGCTTTGCTTATTCAATGTAAACTTAAACTGAATGTTCTATCGAAAAGCTTTCTTTTTTTTTAAAGTTCTACGCTGTCATCAGCTCATTGTATGTATGTGATTTTCCATAGAAAAGAATCATACCATATACGCAGCGGCCACCATTATTGCTCATTTATTTTTCCTACTGCTTAGATCATGGCAAAAGTTCGCTCTTATTTGTTTAAACAAAGTACACAATTCGTTTCTCTTTATTTTTTTTTTGTTTTAATTGTGACATTAATTAGCGGCACATTCATAGATGTACAGAACTTCTCCTTTGAATTACAAGAAGTTAATACATACATATTTCTTAAATATGTACTTATAATTTTTGAGATATGCACCCAACTACCGTTGCAGCACGATACATGAGAAAAGAATATCTAGCTGTTCTCCGGAAAAAAATTGCCGCCGAGTAGCTTGGCGCAACCCACCCCTCTATCAACTATTAAAAAAAAACAGATTTGTGACACCCAATTTTTTAACAAGATGTTTAATTAATTTATTAGAATAAAAATGTTAAATTTTTTAATTTACTTCCAAAATATCCTTTTTATAGAATTCTGAGCTATCGAGGCATATTTTTAAAAGTATTTTATTTTCATTTTGTCTCGCTTTATACTGAGATATGTAGCTATTCGGCAAAAATATTAACTTATTGATAAATTTTTTGTGGACATAAAGGCTCATGTGCATATACATGCATGTTTATATGCCATATTATCATAATGCTAAATAATAAATTGCATTAACGATATTACATACAAACATATTTATAAATTAAATCTATCCAAATGACCACATGACCAAACCTTGGAACACTTTAATAAGTATAGCTCGGTCAACCGGGTACTGGTATAAATTTGTCTTGCTCGTTCGTAATTCAAGGAACAGGCACTGTACATGCATTCATTTTCTCAGTTTTCAAAATACAGCCTTTTACTTTTAAATCCATCACATAGACGTATTTCCATGGACTTCACTACTTTGTTTTATTGCTCTTTTGTCTATTATTTAGGACGAGTTCTATGTCCTCTTGTATTGTACCTAAATTCCTTTTCTCTTTATTGAAATTCAGTTCCTTTGCTCTTGATTCAGTTGTTTGCCTTCCATGTCCCCGTCAATTACCACCTTGAGTATCACCCCTTCTATTCGGTCTCTGGTTTGTTTTTATTCATTGTCGTTTTTCTTCACCAACTCTCTACAATTCTTAAACAGATTCTTTGGCCCACATAATTCCCCTTTACCAATCAAGCAAAGTTTTGTTACTGCAACACTTTGACTTAAATATAATAGTGTATCTTTTTTCATTTAATATCCTTTGAATTGCACCCTCGTACATATTCCCTTACTTTTCATTTGCAGTTATTTAACATTTACTTGTCTTTTGTGTCTTTTTGTCTTTTTGTTTTTATGTTTGCAGTAAGAAAAGATCTTGAGTTACGTCTGCAGTTCAGATTTTTCAATAATCTGCATAGAAAGTCAACAAGAATTCAGTAAAATAAAGAATGATCTTAAAAAGTCGATATATATATATATATACATATATTTATATATAAAATGAATGAAGTAAAACCAAATAAACAAAAAAAAAATATTTACTAAATATTTAACGCACTCGTAAGTTAAGACACCAAATAAACAAAGCGACAATTGCAAGCAAATGCTTAATAAACAAGAATAGAAAACAAAAATACGGCAAAACACCGCATGGACAATTCAACTTAAACTACCAAGAAAAAAGGAAGAAAATTGCAAGCAAAAGTTGCTTCGACGTCATTAATGAACGCTGTCGAAATTTCGTAAGGAATATTAAAGCAGCAAGCGAGTTGGCTTCTGCGTGAAATACATAGAAAAACGCTTGATTTTGACGTCTTAGCACTTTATAATGCAAGCAGCGAGTATAAAATAATACATATATGGATATATAATTTAGGCGTAAAAAATATATGAAAATAAAAATAATTTCGTTAAAAATGAGGAAAAAATGTGATTTTGAAAAATCAAACAAGAACACTGCTTCGACAGCAACAGTGCATAGCTGCAAATACTATTCGCACACGAAAAATCATTAATTATCACAAACCTTAAATCCAACCAAAGAAGAAAATCATTTACACAAAATGATATGTTACACAAGAGAAAAACTTAGGTTTACGTTAAATCATATATTAATATTTTCACATGCACCACCATACGATTAAAATGCGTGTGACATATGAGAAAAAAAGCCGAAGA